AGCGGCACAAACACAAACATGCACACACAGCACTTCAAACATTATACTTCTATGAGCTGGATTAGGCCGTGTAGTCGAGAAAGTTGAACGCACCCAACAAAGAACCAATGAGCGCATAGGTATCTGTGTAAGTGGGGGAAAGTGAGTCGTAAACTTTCATCCCATTGTCAGGGCTAGGAGAGCGCGAGCCCTCGGTACAGTGTTATTTTTTCCCAGTCTTCTACCTTTTTGCAAGAAGAGTTTCATTAAGGACGAGCTGTGGGAAAAGGGCTCATCTTTGCTGAGCCCTAAAGAAATTTGATTGGCTGCTGGGTTACTATACTTGTAAGCAGTGACAACAGTGATTGGATAAGCGAGCAAGCCGCCAAGTTGATCACCCTGTGTTCATTGCGTGCGGTCATAACGGTTTCAACTGCTTGTTTCATATGGAGAAATATACATTTACTTTGGGATAGAGTTGGGGGTGGTGGGTGGGGAGGGGGTAGGGGCTCAAGCCCGTGAGCCCTTCACTACCCACCGCCACTGTCCTCGACAAACGTAGATGCTAGTCTATGGCTGTGAATGTTGGACTTTCACTTTTTATGATTTTTTAGCAGGTTTTCTTTTTCCTGCACGTGAGTGCTCATTGCCGATTTGGGAGCAAAAAAGAAGGCTGAAATCAAAATGCCAAACATGAAACAATAAAAACGACAATGAAATTCTCATTCTTTAAGCAAAGCAAACAGAGATTGTTCCCACTACAAAAAGTTACTGTTTTACGAAGCACCGTATTTTCTGCTTTGGCTCAGAGAGCTTATAGGTAGAACTAGAGCACTGAGGTGTGACGTCATGAGTGTCACACTGAGGGGCGCTCCAGCCATTCCGTAGAGGAATAAAAGGCCACTCGGTGCACAGCAACACTTTTCAATCACGGATTAACGATACTTTGCAAAGTCTTTTGATGTTGATTTTTTGTCACGGGGATTTGTCTATCGCTAAAGTGTACTCATACGGAGATTTGTGATTGTTTATTTGTTAAATAAGCCAGATAGTCTCTAAACAAAGCGAATAGAGCTTTTTATACAGTGAAACCACGTGGGTGAGTAAAATTCAGAAAAATGGATAGGTGGACTAGATTAGTTTTAAAATCAAATTAAAAATACTATTTTATTTAAATAATTTTCTATGCGTTGTTCAAACAGGATGCTTAAATTTAGCACCGAAGACCGCAAGAAAGTGCTCAAATCGGACTTCTGGAATCAAGGATGTGACTTTAAGAAGCTGCTAGAAGCTTCAGCTGCAACTCTAGCACACTTTTAAGGCTGGTTGAGCGGAAAAGAACCACTGGCAGTGTTGTTGAGAGAATAGGAAACAGCCCAACCAGGCGTAACTAGCCGAGCTATCAAGCTGACAAACATCACAACCACGTACAGTTTTCACTTCATATGTATAGCTGGGAAGTCAAGTCCCGAGATCATAAATGTGTCAGTGGACATATCTGTTCACAGAGATTGGAGAACATATTATAATATGAACACATAGCATAGCTCTATTAAATTCCCAGAGAAGACAGCCTCGTCAATCTGACAATAAAGGAATCAAGAGAGAGAGGGAATCACACAAGGATGTCTTCTGCCAGACACTGTTACATCACCATGGGAACACTGACCAGGGACAGACACATCCACAAAGATGTTAACAAGACGTGAAAAATTGTTGAAAACAACCCCAATCATCTCTCTGAATCAGTGGAAGGAAAGTGGAGGCAACACGTGACGTAAAAGCAATCCATTTTGTAAGTAGGAAAATATGTCCTTTAAAACAAACAAACCCAATCACTCACTTTGTCCCCCTCCGCCCCTCTCCCACCCCACCCGAGAAAAAACAACAATACCTTGTATTATTACATTCAGTATGTGCTGTATTGTATGGGCATCTATATATTATAGAGGACTTAACACAACAACAACCAAAAGCAAACTTTAAAAAATGAAGTAAACGTTCACCTTGAGCTCAACGCTTTATACTCTATTAGCTGGGCCCCCACTTTCGCTGAAAGAAATGATCAGTCCCCAGGGGCGGTTTGTTAACTGGGCAGTTGACAAGAGATTTATTGCTGATAATGATTTTCATTCAGTTTTAAGTAAATCCAAACAAACATGTATCAACAGTTAAAAAGCGCCTTGCCGATTTGAAGGCGTTCAAATAGACAAGTGGGATTCACAGCTGTGTTGTCGCGTTTGTTTATCACGCCGGCTCACAGCTGTTACTGTTAAATTTAAATCGTCTCCCGTCACGTCGCAGAACTTCGTACGAGGACAAATCGAACACGGCTCGCTCAGCGATGACGTCAGCCCGCTGGGCAAATCCATCG